CCTCAGTCACAGTGAGTTTTGTTAGTCAATCTGTTGACAATCTGGTGGGTGCCTACACCTGTGTAGTCCAGGGGTTGGCTGTCAACCCTTTCCTGAAACATAGAGACTGACTCCCAGGGTTTCTTCCCTAAAGGCCAAACATTTGTTTTGTTGGCCTACCATGTCTCTGGTACACGTGCTGATGACTTCTATACTTTCTAGGAATATATGGAATTATGTAAGAAATCAGTAGAAAAATAGAACCAGTTATTTCACTACCTCTTTAAGCATTTTTTAAAAATTTACATCTAATTGTTGTTCAATTATCAAAAAACAGTAGCAATTTAAATGCAATGAAAACTATAGGTCAAATTCTATTGGCAGAGTGCTTGCTACCTCCTGAGTTATTTGATTACAGGCCCCATCCCCAGGGCTGGTAGTCCTGGATGTTATAGAAAGTCAGGTTAAGCAAATCAAGAAGAGCAAGCCATGAAGAGTACACAGTAAGCAGCTCTACTCCATGGCTTCTACATCGGGGACTATGTCCAGAGTCTTACCTTGAGTTTTTGCCTGACTTTCCTTGATGATAGACTACAAACGTTAACATGAAATAAACCATTTCTCCCCCAATTTGATTTTGGTCATGGAGTTTTTTTTAAAAATAAAAACGCTATCTATGAGGCCTTGATTTTCACAAACTATTCAGGACATACAGTAAGCTATAATAATGTCAATGTCATAAGGGAAAAACCTTCCTTAAAGTTCAAAGATAAAGCAGTGTAGCGCTGTCTTCTAGACTTGTGTTGAAACGATGCTGCAGAGCATCCGCCATGTGTTAAATGATACCCAGAATCCAGTCTCAGGGGTCTGAGTTCAGTGTCCTAGGCCCTTTAATTCTGGCAGTTAATTTTTTAAATGAGAGGAACTTGATGCTATGTAGACTACAAATTAGGTCCCCAAACCCCACAGGGGTATTAATAGGAAAGTGGGGGGATTTTAATAGTGTTCAGTTTAGCAAACAGCAATGTCCCAAAGTTAATGTCAACTTTTCCAAAGTACATTGACAAAATATGGGAAAAGAGCACAGAAGAGCTCTCTACACTGTCTTCCTAAACTTTTGTATATATGAAAGTATTTGAAAATAAAGTTTATTAAATCAAATGTAGTAGGATACTCCTGTAACTCCAACAGGTCAGGAAGACATGGATTTCAAGCAAGTTTGTCCTAAGGGTATACAAATCTGTCTTAATGAATAAAGAAAGAATAAATTGGCTAACTTATTATTATAAATTGGGAACTTGAATCCATGCCTACAAACACTAGAAGACCAAACTGAGCTGTACCAGTGCTCTGATGGCAAACAGAGATCGGTACGCTGTTTCATTTCAGAAGCAACAGGTAGAGACAGGAAGTCTTGAGTAGAGAGAGGCATGACAACCTCTCATGTGTTAGTCACAACCCATTTCCTAACCAAGAATGGTATTCATATGTACCTTGTTTAAAATAATTCACCAAACTGTACTTGAATTTTTTCTTATTTAAATGAATTTTCTATGTAATATATTTCTATGTTTCTTTAGACAAATAATAGTACTAAGTCTTCCCATAAGCCAGGAACAATCGAGTCTTATGTTTTTGGCCACTTTAGCAGTGTCAGATATGAGCTCTATGAGCTCCATCTCATTTAGTGGATTTTAAACCTATTTTTAAGATGGTTGGTTACAACCATAACATCTGTACCATTATTGTGTCAGTATATCTCACAGACATGATACGGGTAGAGGTCGTAGAGATTGTAGCTGGGAGATATTGATTACTCTTCTCTAGTGGCATGCAAAGTGCTTTCAAGCACCACAAATGCTAGCAGTGGGGGTGGTGAAGATTCTAATTGGGTACCTGTTTTATTTCTCTTTGTGCAATGACATAAGTGAGTGGGGTCTTTGGCAACAGGGTCCTATTACCATCTTATAGATATCAACTAACAGCCTTTAAAGTAATCTGTGATGTTTGAGAGGTCTACAGGAACTTCTTTGACCAATGACTCAACATGATGTAATCCATTCCTAACACTCAAGGTGACTTGTTACTTGGTGACATAAAACATCTTGTAGGGTCATTGTCTCCTTCATTGTATTGTGACTCTACTTAAATTCCTTTTATATGTATGTATTTTAGGTTTAAAGTGATCAATATGGGAGGGCCTACGCATTGCGGGTGGTGCCATCCCTGAGTTGGTGGTCCTGGGTTCTATAAGAAAGCAGGCTGAGCAAACTATGGGAAGCAAGTCAATAAACAATACTCCTTCCTCTAGATCCTTCACATCAGATCCTGTTTTCAGAAGCTTGCCCTGCTGAGTTTCTGTTCTGACTTCCTTTAGTGATGAACAGTGATGTAGAGATATAAACCAAGAAATCATTTCCTCCCCAGATTTCTTTTTGGTTACGGTGTTTCTTCATAGCAATAGAAACTCTAAGACACCATTCATAAATCCTCTTTAAAGAGTTCATCAAAGATGTTTTAATGCTCATTCATTATGTGACCATTTTTGTTTGTTTGCTTGCCTGTTTTGAGGTAGACTCTTCTGTGGTCCAGGGCAGCCTCAAACATACTATCAAGCTGAAGCTGACACTGAACTCCTCCCAAGTGATGACACCAAGCATGGACCACCAAGTTTATTTTTTTAATTTTAGAAGTAACATAGTTTTTTTTTCTTTTTCCTGTATTTATTTACTTTTTTAAAACAATGAAAACACACTGTCTTTTTTCATTATACATACTTCCTACTTCCTCCCCTCTTCCCATTCCCTCCACATAGCCCTCACCTCACCCTCATCCATTCCTCAGAGAAGGTAAGGCACATTGCTTTGGGGGAAGGTCCAAGGCCCTCCCAATTATATCTAGGCTGAGCAAAGTATCCATCCAAAGAGAATAGGTTCCCAAATAGACAGCACATGCAATAGGGATAAATCCTGATGCTACTGCAAGTGGCCCCTCAGTCTGCCCAAACCATATAACAGTCAACCACAATCGGAGGCACTAGTTTGCCCTTGTGCTTGTTCCTTTCTGGGCTGGCTAGAGTTGGTGAGCTCCCATTAACTCAGGTAGACTGTTTCAGTGGGTGTACCCATCATGGTCTTGACCTCTTTGCTGATATTCTCATTCTTCCCACTCTTCAACTGAACTTTGGGAGCTCAGTCCAGTGCTCTGATGCAGGTTTGTGCCTCTGTTTCTATCAGTTGCTAGATTAAGGTTCTACGGTGATAGTTAAGATAGCCATCAGTCTGACTACATGACAAGTCAAGATTGGGCCCTGTCTTCTCTGTTGCTTAGGGTCTTAGCTGGAGTCACCCTTGTGGATTTCGTGGAATTTCTCTAGAGCCAGATTTCTTGCTCACCCTAAAACAGCTCCCTCAATTAAGATATCTCTTCTCTTGCTCTCATCTCTGTCCTTCCTCCTTCTTGACTATCCTTTCCCTCAAGTTCTCCTCACCCCTCCCATTCTATGCTCCTCATTCCCTTCTATCCTCCCTTCTCCCCAACCCCCATGTTCCCAGTTTTGTCAGGCGGTCTTGTCTGTTTCAGCTTTCCAGGTGGATCTGTATATGTTTTTCTTAGGGTTCACCTTATTACTTAGCTTCTCTAGGATCATGAACTATAAGCTCAATATCATTTGTTTATAACTAGTATCCACTTATGAGTGAGTACATACCATATTCATCTTTTTAGGCCTGGGTTACCTCACCCAAGATAGTGTTTTCTAGTTCCATCCATTTGCATGCAAAATTCAAGATGTCATTTTTTTTTTTACAACTGAGTAGTGCTGTTTTAGAGCCATGGTTTTAAAACAGAATCACCATATTTTTCAAGTACCAGACAATGGCCAATGAAAGATTTATTGACTATTATTTGGTGCATGATAGCTTATGTTCATCTAAAGATGAAGAAACTGACACAGATGATCTTAGGAATGTTAAGGTTTTCTAGGACAAATTCTCCTTTCCCAGGTCAGAAAATTTGATTATTTTAAAAATATTATTTTAAAAAATTGACAATTCCATATATGTATATAATGCACTTCAACCATTCTCACTCATTCCCACCTTTCCAATTTCCCTTCCAACCCCTACACGTGCCTCTATCTACAAGTCCCTTTCCCACATTTATATCTTTGTGTTTTATCTTATGGCCCGCAGTGTTTATCCAGGGTTGTCTGTGTGACCCTGGGTTTTAGACTGTCCACAGAAACCTAGCTAGCTCTCCTGTTAGTATACCTGTAAAATCAATGACTATCTCTCTCCCATAATGCACCAATAGCTAATAGTTCAGCAGAATGAATTATGGTCCTGTTGAGTCCCTCTCCAAACCTTGGTGTGCTGGTGAAGGACCCAGTCTTGTGCAGGGAACTGCAGATGTTGTGAGATGACCTTGGTTGCAAGGGCTGTGCCATGCCCACAATATTGCATTTCCAGGCATTCTTCTCATCTTCTGGCTCCTCTACCTTTTCTACCCATCTTCCACAAAGTTCTAAGGCTTAGAGGTGCTGGTATAGGTGTTCTGTTTAGGGTTAAACACTCAAGAATCACATACTCTGATACTTTGAGCAGCCATGAGTCTCTGCATTCACCACAGTTCATTACACTGAGAATCTTTCCTGGGCAATGCTGGGTGATGCATGTGTCCATGAGTTTAACTGTTTAGAAGACAGTTTGGAATCAAAAGTATATGCTCAACTATGTTCATAGAAGCATTGTTTGTAATAGCCAGAACCTGGAAACAACCTAGATGCCCTTCAATGGAAGAATGGATAAAGAAAGTATGGAATATATACATACTAGAGTATTACTCAGCAGTAAAAAACAAGGACTTCTTGAATTTTGCATACAAATGGATGGAAATAGAAAACACTATCCTGAGTGAGGTAAGCCAGACCCAAAAAGAGGAACATGGGATGTACTCACTCATATTTGGTTTCTAGCCATAAATAAAAGACATTGAGCTTATAATTCGCCATCCTAGAGAAGCTAAATAAGAAACTTCCTCCTACAAGACCTAAGAACTTCTGCTTTCTTAGATAGCAATAATTGCACATAGGTAAATGATAAGAGGATAATTGTTAGACAAGCTAAGGCCACGTGATTCTCCCAGAAGCCCCATGATGAGAGGTTGATGCCCTGGCTCGTCAAGAATTCTTCTCCAGTGCATCTGTAAGTCAACACACAGAAAAATAACGTCAAAGCTTACTCATTACATTTACTATTCCTTTCTTTTAAAAACTCAGTTTCAACACATCATTAAAAACTTCATCTTTATATTTAAATGGTAGTGCTACTGACATACTAAAAACTTTGTGATATATTATCAATCTACTTGAATCAGGTACTTTGCTTAATTTCAAAGCCATCCGAAGAGGCGTAGCAATCACATCTATTTAAAAGCATAGAGGCTTAGTAAACTTGGGCAAGTTTAGAGAGTCACACTAAGACCCAATTTTTTAGCCTTTAAGGTGTCATTCATTTCTAAACCTACATCACTGCTTTCTCTTCAAAGGGCAAAGTCACAGGTGAAGTACTTGTTTCTGCCAAAGCAGAAAACCTCATTTTCTTAAGGACACATACAGAGATCAAAGCTTTGTGCAATTCTGCTGACTCAGTACACAATCACACAAAAGAACAATACATCAAGTTCTAGACCAAGGACCAGAGGAGACTAATGGTTTCTGAGAGGAGTCAGTCAATTGCTGTGAGCTCCTGTACTAAGAGAGCAGTAACAACCTCGGATACTTAGCTATGAAGCATGCCCAGGAGCCCAGGGTAGTAGTTGGAGCACAGCAGGATGCAGGGGTTCTGACACAACTTATAAAAACAGCTGCTGCTATAATTTCTGAACACATTACAATTACTGTCTGTGTATCTCTATCCCTGTGTCTCCATCCCTGTGTGTCTCTATCCCTGTGTGTCTCCATCTCTGTGTGTCTCCATCCCTGTGTGTCATCATCTCTGTGTGTCTCCATCCTTGTGTGTTTATCCCTAGGTATCTCTATCCCTGGATATCTCCATTCCTGTGTATCTCCATCCCTGTGTGTCTCCATCTCTGGGTATCTCCATATCTGTGTGCTTCTATCTCTGTGTCTCCACTCCTATGTATCTAATGCGTCGCCATTCCCTTGTATCTAATAGGATTTAACAGTTCCCAAATCCACTGAAAGGGCCATTTTCTTCTTCCTCTTGAGAGGACAATCCTCTTGTGAGTACGAGATCTGTGGATGATCCTTTTCTGGTTGCACTTTACCCATCCCACCCTGGACAAGAAACCAGTAATGAATTTGTAGTACAAGGATGTCAGACCACACCAGGAGAGAGGAGATGTGGAAAATAGAATATCTCCCATACTTGTTTTCTTATCAGTAATTCAAACTTAAATTTGACTTACTACTATTCCTTATTATTTTAACATCCATGAGAGATCTAATATATCAGCATATTCCTCTCATATTTATATATCAAAATCAAATTAAAAAGAGCAATCATAGAAACTGAAAGTACTGTAACTTTAAAACAATATACTTGTTTTATTAAAAACCTGTTACTATTTTAGTGACATTACACAAAAATGAGATTTCCTTCTCAACATACTGAAATGTCTGTTTCATTTACAGGGCATATCCTCTGGTAGGACATTTTACACACACACAGACACACACACACACACACACACACACACACACACACACACACACACCACGCTTTGTTTTCTCGAAGTTTTCTAGAGTGTGAGGCAAAGAAAAGACCCTGAATCCTGCCAGGCAAAGCTCAGTCCTTTTGGACCCTGCTGCCTGACATGTGGAAACTGTATGCCCTTGTAAGCTATCAGAGCAGTGTATGCCAAATTCAAATATTCTGAAACATGGAACCCAAACCCACAATCAAGACACCAAAACTATTTTTAAAAGCCTCGAAGAACCCTTTCTGCACATTATCTACACCATGGAACACTCAGATGGAAACACAGCCCCCTGTACAGTGGTTACAATGATGCACTCTAGGGACCCCACAGAAGACAGAGTTAATCCTAAAAGGATGTGTTTCCTTTTTAAGGTGTGGAGCATTCTGTGTCCCCATAGTGACATTGAACTCAAGCTTACATCACATAGTTGTGACATCTCCTGAGTTCTGTTGTGTTATTTTCTAGACAGAAGTTTTGTCCCGAGAATTCGTTGTGTATGAAAGCCTATAAAACAAAGAGGGACACAGAAAGGCAAATAGTTTAGTATTTCCATAAGTTTCCACAGAATCAGCCATCTATAAATTCAAGTTCAATCTTGACTGCAATTTGCAAAAATATTTTTAAATAAACAACCCCACCAAGTTCAGTCTGCCCAGTAAAGCAGTCTCCTCCCCCACACTCAGGAGACTTAGAATTGAAATGATGAAGTTTCCCAACTACTAAGAGATAGACTCTCAACTAAATCACCTCAGGCACCTCTTTCTCTGCCTAGACAATAACCCACTAAGCACTGTAGTTAAAATAATACTATTGCTTTACAGAAATAATATATTCTTGATTATTTTCATCAAAACCAGTTGTGGTTATGGGAGTAAGAAAGTCTACTAAAGCACACTTTACTGGAGAGAAAGCTTGGCAAAACCAGTATAGCTCTGGGTATCACAGTGCTTCTTTCTTATATTTTCCTGACATAAACTATACATCGCAGTCGCTGATCCTTTTTTTATTTCCTTATTGGGCAGAATCACAACTGCTTGCTTTTCATAGTATTATCTACCTTTCCCCTTTGCTCTGAGGTTTTTGTCACCATTTGTTTCCCTCAAATAAAACATGACTACGAAAAATCCCAGATGACTCACTTAAAACTAATAGGATAGTTCCCATCTTCTGCTCCTAGAAGGAAAATCCTTGGCAGTGATTGATTAAAGATTACAGCTGAGGAAAGGACTAGGTTTGGAATCATTTCAGTGGCTACAATTGGAGAACCCAAATACAGTGACAGACAGGACAACTTACTGTAAACCCATAATGCGGAATGCTCAAGTACTGAATCCATGAGAGCCCAAGTATGAAGTTTCCAGAATATAGTGACTGACCTGAGAAAACCTATGAAGAACAAATCTATGAATTAGAATCAGTCCATTGATTAAGAATTCTCAACAAGATCCTCCCTCTTCAAGACCCCTTCATCCTTCTGACTTTTTCTTCTTAGATCAGCTCTTTAAAAAGTTCTTCAGTAAACTTTAAACAGAATTCTTCATGTTAAAACCAAAGTTCTTTGTGGTTGGTAAAAGAATGCCCCCCTCCTCTCTGGATGTCAAGCCCTACAATATTATGTTATCTTTAAAATGGCACACAACCTATAAACATTCTTTATACTTTACATACACCTACCATACATATTTAAAATCCTCTTAAGATTCCTTATAATATCTAATTTCTGTAGTTTATACAGCATAATTCAGGAGATGGCAATATTCAGAGCAGAAGAGCCGTTTGTTTCCTATATTTTCAGTATGTGATTGATTTAATCTTTGACAATATGACAGGCCAACTGCAGTGACTGCTCTAGTAAAACTGCTACCTTCTAGGAACTCCAACTAGAAGAACTCTGTCTTGGCTCATTTTATATCACTCAAGCTAAATTCACAGGAGAGTAGGGAACCTCAATTAAGAAAATGTCTCTAGGGAGCTCGGTCCTACCTCAACTTGATGTGCTGTGCTTCGTTCAAGCCCATGGGAGGCCTATCCCTTTCTGAATGAAAATTGAAGAGGAGGAGCAGATGAGAAAGGGGTAAATAGGACTCAGGGAAAACAGGAGGATAGGAGGAAAGGAAAACATTGGTTGGTATGTAAAATAAATAAAAAATGTTAATTAAATAAAATTAAATTAAAAAAGGAAATGTCACTATAAGATCATCCGTAGGTATGTCATTTTAGAAGAAAGCAGACTGAGGGAGGACTTAGAACAAGCCAGTAAGCAGCACCCCTCCATGGACTCTGCATCAACTCCTGCCTCCAGGATACTGCTGTTTGAGTTCCTATTCTTATTTCCTTCAGTGATGAACAGTAATATTGAAGTGTAAGCCAAAATAACCATTTCCTTTCCAATTTGCCTTTTAGTCATGGTGTTTCATCTCAGCAATAGAAACCTAATGTGGATAAGCACTGATCATCATATACCCACTTCTACTTCCAACGAACAGTAAGTCTTGTTACTTATAAGAGTTTTTGACTCTCTAGTCATGACCTTAGGAGTTTGGATTCAATTAAAATACCACCTTAAAACAACTGCAAGCCTAAAACTGATAATCCACACCATGTGGTAAAGAGCATTAGAAAAAGTGCTCAATTCCCCATTTAAAAATGCTACCAAAAGTCAAAATCACAACAGAAATGGAAGAAAGCACTGATGGGAATAAACTAGGGTCAGCTCTGAAGTTCACAAAAAATTTATTCTGTCTTTTCTTAAGTACAGTAGAATGTGCACAACAATGATGGTGCGTGCATGCATTCAGACTGCATCTGAACAAATGCCTGTACAGAAAACACATTTGCCTTCATAACTGGTTCTTAAAGTCCCATATAGAATCTTGATACAATAACCAGTTGTATTAGTTCCTTGCCTGTGGCTCTGATAAAGCACCATGACAAGCAGAAAAGTTGGAAACTTTCTAAGTAAAAATTGCTGATATAATGGGAGGGGGGGGAATGAGAGATACAATTTCATTTATCAAAAAGTAAAAAAAGAGGGGGCATGGGGGGTCTTGGAATAAATCTAACCAAATGAAATTTTTGTATAATAAAAATTTCAAGACACTGGAAAAAAAGAAGTTAAAGATACTAGATGATAGAAAGACAGCCCATCTTTATTGATTATGAGGATAAAAATTATAAAAATATACATCTACCAAAGGAAATCAATATGTTTCAATCCAATCCTCACCAAAATTCCAGTACAATTCTGAGAAATTGAGAAACAATAATAAATTTCACATGGAAGTAAGAAAGACTCAGGTTAGGGGAACAATCCTGAACAAAAACAATAAAGCTCTCACAGGTGCCACCACCCATTGGTGAAAGAATCCATCCTTTTGTTGTGTGAGGAATAATTAATCTTCTGTTGATAAGAGGCTTTCAGTGGGCCTGTCTATCCATCTGGGAATAAGAGCAAGAGACTCCTGAGAACTTTACCACCCTAAGTGCCCTTCTCTCATAAAGAGGACAACATGTCATCTTCTCTGTTAGGACCATGGTCTCTTTAAAAGGGAAAGTGTAACATGAACGGGGGCCAGGCCTGCTTGTTTGTTGGCGTTTTCTGTCCCGCCTGGTACCCCACAACTGTTTAGCCCCAAAGAAAATCACACATAGGTCTCCATAAATTATAAGCTGATTGGACCATTAGCTCTAGCCTCTCATTAGCTAACTCTCACATCTCAATACCTTTTTCAGTGAGGCAGATCACATCCTGCTGCTTCTGTGGTCTGGGCAGGAGTGGGAGGAATCAACTTCCTTCTTCCCAGAATTCTCCTGTTCTCATTACATCATTTTTATTTCCTGTCTGATTTTTCTGCCTATATTTCCTGCCTGGCCAATCAGCATTTATTTAAAACATGATTGACACAATACAGACAATTCTCCCGCACCAGGAAAGGACACCTGAGCCTGGGGATGTGCTGTGGGATGTCCTTCTGTATACTGTGCACTCGTTGTTAATAATAGACTTGATTGGCATGTAAGCAGGCAGGAAGTATGGGTGGGACAATTAAACTAAGGCAAGAAGAGAGTTGTGGGGTCAGGCAGAAATGCCATCCCTCCAACAAGGAAGTAAGCCATGTAAAAATGAGGTAACAGGCCATCAACCACATGGTTACACATTGATAAGAATTATGGGTTCATTTAAGTGTAAGAACTAGCTAGTAATAAACCTGAGCTACTTGCCAAGCATTTATCATTATTATAAGACTCTGAATTATTATTTGGGAATTAGTGAGTGGAAAAGAACCATTTGTTTATATATGGCACCCAATATGGGGCCAGTACATCCACATAAAGCCTGAAAAGGCTTTAAAAAGGATTTTAGATACACAAAAAGAAAGTCAAAAATAGCTTCCTCAGCTTCCTAGTAACATACGTGGATTCTCCTGGGAAGGGGAAATAGACAAGATCTTCTGAGAAAATTGGGAGCATGGCAGGGGAGAAGAGAGGGCAAAGTGGGACAGGAAAAGGGGAAGGAGGAGGAGAACATTAGGGAATGGGATGGTTGAGTTGAAGGAAGGACAGAAAAGGAGAGCCAGGAAAGAGATATCTTGATTGAGGGAGCCATTATGAGGTTAGAGAGAAACCTGGTACTAGGGAAATTCCCAGGAATCCACAACCCCAACTAAGACTCCAAGCAACAGTGGAGAGGGTACCTGAACTGGTCTTCCCCTGTAATCAGAGTGATTACTACCTAATTGTTATCCTAGAACCTTCATCCAGCAACTGATGAAAGCAGATACAGAGATCCAAAGCTAATCACTGGGCTGAGCTTCTGAAGAACAGTTGATGAGAGGGAGGAGCAATATGAGCAAAGGAGTCAAGACCATAACAGAGCTACCCACAGAAACAGCTGACCTGAGCTAGTGGGAGTTCACTGACTCTGGACTGATAGTGGGGAACTTGCATAGGTCCAAACTAGGCCCTCTGAATGTGGATGACAGCTGTGTGGCTTGGAAAATCTGTGGAGCCACTGGCAGTAGGACCAGTGTTTATCTCTAGTGCTTGAACTGGCATAGTGGATCCCATTCTTTTTGGAGGGATACCTTGTACAGTCAAAATAGAGGGAGGATGATCTTGGTCCTACCTCAAAGTGATGTGTCAGACTTTGTTGACTCCGCATGGGAAGCTTTACCCTCTCTGAAGAGTGGATGGGGTGGGGTGGGGGTAGATGGGGGAAGCAGGAGAACAGAAGGAGTGGGAACTGGGATAGGGAAGTAAAATGAAAAAGATCTTTTTTAAAAAAGTAAATTAAAAACTTATAAAAGAAAACCACAATTCACACTCACCAGCATGAACACAAAGTAGATGGTCACAGATAGAGTTGGTACAGCCACTGCATTCTCCCCTGCTTTGAAACACAGTGGCAGTGAGCTGGCCGAATAAGCCAACATCATGACGGTAAATATCATAGTGAAGAAACCCTTCACATCCGTGTTTACTCCTTAGAAAGAAAAAAAGTAGGGTCAGTTCATCACCTAAGTCGAGAGATTGTACATATTTCAAACAATGCTTTAATAATCAATGAGACTGGTAACAGTTTCTCGGCCACCCAACTTCTCTGCGTCTCTAACTGCAACCTGATCATGTGGATGTTGGGAACAAAATTTCGGGCCTTTGGAGGAGGAGGAGCAGCATGTGCTCTTAACCAATGAGCCTCTCTCCAACTCCATCGCATGGCTTTATTTTTGTACCTGACACAAAATATATTTCCATATATTAGCTTCTCTCCTCTATACACAATTATGAGCAATTTACAGGATCCTGACATGGAGAGCTACAGGCAATACAACTGGCCAAAATTGTATCAGATCCTCTCACAGAGGAATCAGCAATACAACACGTTCATGTTCACATTCCCCTGTGTTTATTATAACTGCGTTAGTAATGAAACTGGGATCTGAGCTGTACCAGTTAGTGGTTTTATAAATTTAACATGAGCTAGGGTCATATGGAAAGAGGGAACCTCACTAAGAAAATGCTTCCTTTAGATTAGCAGGTAGGCAAGCCTGTGGGGACATTTTCTTGATGGATGATTTATGTGGGAGGTCTTAGACATCTGTGGATGATGCCATCCCTGGGCAGTGGTCCTGGGTTCTATAGGAAGACAGACTGTGGAAGCCATTAGGAGCCAGTAAGCAACACTCCTCCACGGACTCTGCTTCACTCCCTGCCCCCAGGGTCCTGTCCTGAGTTCCCTTTTTAAAGGACATTGAACTGTAAAATGAAATAAACCCTTTCCTCCACAAGTTGATTCTGGTCATGGTGTTTGTCACAGTGCTAGAAACCTATCCAAGGCAAGGGTTAAACAACTGTGCAGTGATTTTAATAATGAGGGGATGGGAGGGTGCCTGCAACTTTAGTTTTCCTAGAAAATCACCATATAACTGCTTGGGAGGAAGGTAATGGGTTCCAAAACTGATTTGTAATCTTTATGGTGCTAATGTTATAAGACATGCATAGTCCTGTGTTTTATAACAGTCACAAGGACACAGAGTCTGGGGGAGCTAAGTTCAATGCCTAATTGTTTTCAAAGTTAATGTTATGATTATCAAGATGAGTATGGTACACATGTGTGTATGGGTATGCATGTGGTATGATGTGCATGAGCCATGGTGTATATGTGGAGTTTAAGGACAACTTTCTGGAGTGATTCTTCCACTGTGATTCTGAGGATCAAATTCAGGTTGTCTGGCTTACAGAACAAGTAATTTGCCCATGGCCTAAATGACTGGCTCTGAATGGTAAATCTGTTATAAAACAAAGTCTAAGCTTTATCAGTGCTTCTCTCTCTCTCTCTCTCTCTCTCTCTCTCTCTCTCTCTCTCTGTGTGTGTGTGTGTGTGTGTGTGAAAAATATGTAAACTTTCAGCACTTAGTCTATGATAAAGTTTAACCATAATGCACAAATGAATCGGTGCACATATTTCAAATAAGATTTATATTATTTAATTTCAACAAAACTCAAATTCAGTAGCCTCTTTCTTTTTAAGATTAGGTAGCATAATACACTAATACATTGTGTGCATTTAAGTTCTTTTACACACACATACACATATATACATATGTATGAGATATTATCCTCATTTCTATATTTTATATGCATATACAGAGACATATACAGAAACACAGAGAAAATATACAGCTGGGCTAAGGAGATGGCTCACTAATTAAAAGCATGTGCTATTATAGCAGAGGCCCTGGATTCTGTTCCCAGCACCTACACAGTGGCTCACGTACTGTAACTACAGTTCCAGGGGATCTGATGTCCTCTTCTGGCCACCCAGGCACTGCACTGCATCCACTTAGTGCACACACAGGACAGATACACAGACAGACAGACACACACACACATAATCAGGCAAATACACCAATAAAGAAAAATAAACATTTTATAACATGCATGATAGATATCTAAAATTGACCTTGCTCCATTGGCACTGTCTCAAATGTGTACGCTATTTCCACACTCATTACAGTGCACAGAATCTCTAGTAAAGCACAGTTTCACGAACATCTTTTGTAGTGTTTTGTGATCAAGTCTTAGAGACTTTTCTCCCACTGAACTCCTGTTTTGATGGTACACAGTGGAGACATGCTTTTCTACTTACAATTTTCTACTTTAGGCTTTCTACAGTTGTACAAAGCAAAACACGCTCCCCCAACAGTAAAGACGCATTCTCTCGCTTTGTCACTTACCTGCTATGCTGAATAGTATAATAGTAAATGTAATACTTGGGAATAACCTCCTGGGTACCAGCTCACCGAGCAATTTCCCAAGGAAATACGATGACACTCTGTAATATCCACTGGTGTGCTCATGTCTACCAAGACAAACATCACGTTATACATTTTTAGATTAGTCCAGGTGAGATGCTGACTACACTGACTTCTGCTACCACAGGGATCCTAACAGGACACTGTCCTCTATGCTCAAGACTCACTCCCATAATGCCCCATCTTAGGGACCAGCCACTCTAGGCCAGCAGCCTCATGACATTCTCACTATTATTCTCCCCACCAGAGAACTCTCCCCTTTTTTGTCCACTCTGGACAAACAGCCCCTCCAGGGAAATAGCTTGATGTGCCCATTTTCACCAGAGTCTCTGACCTCTGAAGCTGGCTCCCTGAGGAGGAGCTCATTCGTACCTCACCTCAGACAGTGGTCATGGAGATTCCTCTCCTTCCAGTTCTTATGAAGAAGGTGACACTGTCACTCTGAGGTCACAGTGCACCTTCAGGACACCACATCCTTCTCTTCTGCTACCCTCACTTTAGGACAATTGTATTCCTTTGATAATCTCTCCCCAACTTGCCTTTGGTCATGTGTTTAACCCCAGCAATAGTAACCCAAACTGAGGCAGGATCCAATGCCTCCTTCTGATAGTCACAGGTCTCAGGGCACACACATGGTATGGAGATAAATTTAAAAAAAAACATTCAGGCACATAAAAATAAAATAATTATTATAAAAGAAAGAAAGATAATGTAGAACTGTTCAGGTTTAAAAGGTCAGGAAGAGTGAGTCCCGTGAGTTAGTCTCCTCTGTCTCCATCACAGTATCTATTACTGGAAGTTTGTCCTCTAAAATCCAACAATTTGATAATGGCCCTTAATGTAACAATACTAGAGTATGCAATTCAGGGGTTAACCTGTTTAAATGAAATCATGAGAGTGGAGCCCCAGGATGCCATCTGTGTCATCATCACCTCATCATGGGAAGAAACAGCATCGCAGGGTCTGCCAAGAGAGAAGGTGGCCAGACAGGAAGAGCCTGGGAGAGAATCCTTACCTCAGGCTCTCACACTGCACTGTGGAGACACATTGCTTTTAAATCCACTGAATCTGCTGCGTTTACTCATGGCAGCCCAACCCAACTTCAATTTAACTAAAAAAAAAAAATCGTAAGCATCGTGCTAATAAAGAGAGAAACATAAAGATAAATAAAGTTTCAAGAAGTTTTCATACTCAGTTGGCTGCACTGATTTACAGAAGAGTAAGAAGGAAAACATGAAACAGTGGGGGAATCCCCACTCAGCGGCTTACTACAGACACAAACTGTAGAAACATCTTTAAAGCCCTAATGATCATCCCTAAAATAGGCCAACCAACTTCTTGCATAGTTTCCAAAGAGTTCAAAAAAGGGATCCAGTCATGCTTATCTATGAAGAAATAATTTTTGATCATGTGAAAGGAGATGGTAAGCAGAAGAAAGGGGAAGTAAAAGGCCATCTGCAGTTCCCTGTTTTCTGGACACACACGTCAGGTTCCTCAAAGACAAATGGTATCTGGGTCCTAACAGCCTGCTACACCTTTTCAACTAGAGTCAGAGGTCAGTAACTTTTTATCTAGATACACAGTGGTGGTTAGATATCAGAGCAGATGATTGGGACCTTATTGGAGACAAGTTTCCTTCTCCATCAAAGAAAAATTCCATTTTACAATCTATAAAAGGCCAGATTAAAAAAGAGGATGGGAAAAAAAGACAAGCTAAGAATGGGGAAGATTCTAAGAGGAGGAAGCAAGATCTCCAAACTCCTGGAATTTGAGGTACAGAGGCATGAGGATCGCTGCAGCTTGAGGCCAGCCTAGGCTACATGATAAGTTCTGGATCTGTCAGGTCATAACTGTGGCCCTGCTTCAAAGGTCCAAACATGGAGCAGAGGGCCTGAGCACCACGTGACCAACAATACAGTGGGGAACTTGGGCATCCAGTCACCAAACAGAGAAGAGGACCTGGAACTAAAGCCAGCCTGGGCTACTTGACAAATTCTTGACCTGTCAAGTCACAACCGTGGACCACACTCAAAGGACCAAACAACAGCAGAGGACCAACCATAGAGTGGAGGACCTGGGTTCTGCTCTTCTTCTAATGAGTCTGTTTTGCTTCCAAAGCTTCACTCTACTAAATGCACAACTTTCTCTCTCCACTCTTCCATTCCCACACACTCATTCCCTGTGCTCATGGCATTCTCCCTCTCTGTCTCCAACAAATTGTCCTCAAGTTCCATCCTGTTTACTTTCCTATGATTTTATCAACAAAACCAAGAATTTAGGAAGGGAACTTTATGGCTCTGGCTATACTTAACCCTATATACCGCATCTACTTTCTAATCTGGCTTTTTAGAGGTTATAATAGTAGACTGACAATCTACAACTACACATTTAGGTGTAAAACTAATATGATTCATGACCTATTTTGTGAAATAATTATATCAAACCAAATAGGGTGATGTTCATCACTACAAATATGCCTCATTTTCATAGTAACATATTAGAAATGTATTCTCAGAAACCTTGAAGTGTATATTAATATTTGCTGCACTGAATGTGCTGTGCAATTTATCTCAAAGTAAAAGCATCTGATTTCTCCCATTGAACAGATTTTATACTCTTAGCGAATCTGTGTCTCCTCACTCCTCACTGCCCTGACAACGAGCACTATGCGGACAGGAGGTCAATTTCTTTACAATCCACGTGTCAGTGAAACACGTTTGCCTTTCTAGGCTTGGACTATTTTACTTTGCATGATGTTCCTCAGATCTTCAATTCTATCCATATTTTTACAAATTCCCATGTTGAAGATAAGCAGCATTCAGAGTCACATCTGCTTTACTGTTTACGTGAACTTAGATCCCTTAACTTTGTTACTATGCATGGTGCTCCAGCGAACATCAGTCTTCGCATGAACTTTGAGCAAATGATTTTAAATATGTGTGTAAGTATGCACAGCATAAATGCCTGTGTCCAATTATTTCGTTTAATTCCTCTCCTTAATGTTTGACTGCCACCTCAACCCTATACTGCTGTTGAGCCAAGGAAGCTCAAATATGACAAAATTCAAACCCAGTTCCTTGATATAAGTTGGACAAAGTACAAGGACAACATTGGATCCAAATATAAGAACCATCTCTGGCCTCCTAAACATTACTGATGAAGAAAATATTTATATTGACCCTGAAAACAATGTAATGGCTTAATTGCATAGATGGTGTTAAGGAAGTATTTCAAATTGTCCTATTTAAGTTTCTTTAGCTGTGGTAATTGTCATGACCAAAAGCAACTTACAGAGAGTGGGATTTATCTGGCTTACATATCCAGAACACGTCCATTTCTGAGGAAAGTCATATAGGAACTCAAGGCAGGATCTTGGAGGCAAGGATGGAATCTGGGGCCACAGATGAGTGATCCTTACTGGCTTGTTCCACCTGCTTTATATACAACTTGGAAACACCTGCCCAGAGTTGGTACTACTTCCAGTGGCCTGGCCCTTCCCACATTCAGTATTAATCAAGAAAATATCTCATGGACTTGCCTACACGTCAACTTGATAGATGAATTTTCTTAACTAAGGTTCCTTCTCCCCACATGACCATGGCTGGTGTCAATTCTAACAAACAACTAACCAGCGCACAAACCAAAACTATCAACCATTTATCAGGAAGACTGGAATAAACCACACACAAAGGCCATTGTCACACAGTTCAGCTTCTTATACAATACTGAATGAGGGAATGTGAAAAATACAAATTAAGAACATTTCACAATTTCTAAAAAATATATGAAGCAACAGCTAATAAGGATCTTCTTTATGTCTGCATTTTCCAAGAACATTTCCACATCAGGTTTTTTGGAACTATGTCTACAAGCCTCCTGTAACAGTGCCTACACCGTCTGCCTTGTTGTCTATGCTGTTCTGGGTTAAGATGTGCCATCTACATGGGCACAAACCAAGAACTAGAAGGTTTGGAAAGCATTCAGATCTTGGCCTTCAGGGAAGGAGAAGAGGACAGACTGGAGACAGACGTACCAGGAATCTCACTGCAGACTAACTTCCAATTCAAACAGAAGACAATTCATAGAATAACTGGATTTTTATGCTTATTTTTTTCTTAAGATATAATAAGTATTTTCCACACAGCAAAGCATATTTGTGGGGCTGTGAAGCTGTCCCACTTAGCAAATGTCTGTCATGCAGTCTTGACGACCTGAGTTCAAATGCCTAGGACACATGGAAAAGTCCCCAGGCACAGAACTTCTCATCTGTAACTCCAGAGATGAAGGATACAGGAGTGAACACTTGGAGCTCATCAGCCAGCCCAGCCAAGTCAATGAGCTCTAGGTTCAGTGAGGGACATGCCTTGATAAAAGAAGTACATGGACATCAATGAAAACATGGCATCAACCTCTGACCTCCACATGCAGACACATGCATACTCACCAACATGCATGTGTGTATACACCCACATGAACATGAGTCCACCTGACACAAACCTGGACAAATAACACCTCTTGATCTATCATCTATCTATCTATCTATCTATCTATCTATCTATCTATCTATCTACGTATCTGTATATCTTTCTCTCTCGCTCTTTCAAGAGAAGCTTCCTGAAGTTCTTAATCATCTTTCCTTAATAGTCAAGCCTCTCTGGCCACTGAGAGGTACCCTGAGGCTGTGGGTGTCAACTAGGGAGCCCAGTGGAGCAAATAGTGGTGTGTCACACATGAAATACAATGAAAATTCTGAAAATTGTGATCCTGATGAGAAACACTTTTGTGAGCATGCTATAGTCATTAAAAAGTTTATAAAGGATATTTTTTAAAGCCACGTTATCACTCAAACTAAACAAAGACCACAAAAGTGGTATCCACAGGACAAGTCAGGAAAAACTGAGTCTCATCCTATTACCCCACACTCACATTCATACAAACCCACCTTACTCAAGAAAATTGGCACTGGAGCAACAGAAGAATAAATAGGTAAACTAAAAACATTTGTGTACCAAGGCATTATAAACAGATAAAATGAAAACACAGAGAAGGGAAGAAATGTAGGTGTATCATGCATTTGGTCATAACTCAGAAACAAAAATAACCTAAACTCAATAGCAAGGAAAAATTAAGGGCCATAGAAAATTAAGTTATAGTTCAGCAGGTAAGATGACTGCCCCCATGCTTGATGACCTTGAGTACAATCCCTCAAACCCATCTGTTGGGGGATCAGCTGTCAATTGTTTTCTGACATCCATATGCATGCTGCAGTGATGTGGGAAGTCCTTCTAGATATGTGTTGTTTTTATTGGTTAAAGAATAAAGAAGCTGCTTTTGGCCAGTGACTTAACAGAATAATAGCCCATCTGGAAAAGATATATAGAGAGAATAGGTGGAGTTAGGAAAGACACTATGAAGTCTCCACCAGAGACAGACTCATTGGGACCTTACTGGGCTATTATTCTCTTAAGTCACTGGCCAAAAGCAGCTTCTTTATTCTTTAACCAATAAAAGCATGTGGAAAATTGAGGTCTTCCACTTATTACCAACATGCTCTATCATGTGACAAAATGTTTATTCTGTTCTTGTCTCAAATTCCAATTCTTCATAGATTTATATAAGTTTGAACAATGTGTCAACATTTTCTCATTTGCTTACCTTGTCTGGACTTCAGTACAAACATTTCGTAGGACAAGGAAAGTGGTACCCACAATCACGGCCAGTAAGACTGTGATAATTGCCTTTCAAAAAGAAAACAGGGAAAAGAAAAAAATTTCCATTGGGAGTAGAAAGTATTCTACACATTGTCCATTATTTTAAAATCCTAATCAGATCCCTACAGTGAGATGAATACTATATTTTGGCCAGATGCCCTGAGAGAATATAAAACACATGTGTTAAAAGAGTGCTTGTATGTTAATCTGAAAATAAAGGTCTCTGCAATTAGAAGCTCCAACAGTGCAGATCCTGGAAAAGCTAAGACTTCTCCCAGTGCCCAACCAGGAATGGCCAGTGAAGGGCTCAGTTCAGATTAAAACCTGGATGACACAGGGTGGGAGAAAATGCAGGCGCCTGGAGTTGGGGGGGGGGGGTAGGGAACAAACCCAGGTAAGTGACAGAAAGTCTTCGCCTAAACTGGGGTCTCAATTCTGGTGCCATCGAACATGTGCAACTTTCTGCTTCAAGTGGCTCAAACGAATTCAGGCTTTCTTTATTCTTATAGTTAGAAACAAGTGCACCCTAAGCCAGGGGGACAGCTCAGAACTACAAATACAAATCAAATAATGAAATTAAAAATGGCTCACAACACAGTTCCTAGCAATGGGATTTTGTGTGCTAAGAAGGGATGAGCTGGTCCTTACCTGTGTCACCTCAGGGAAGTGTGTGCTGTGTGGGAACCAGCACTATTGCTGTCACCACAGTGATCATACAGTGTCCTCTCTCTGGGTCACCCCAGTCTCCCATTGCCCATCACCTCTGTCACTGCCGCTCTATCAGCCTCAGTCAGCGCAGCCTGTGCTCGAGTCTCATCTAAGCTGCCAGTTCCTCCAGACCCTCATCTACCTCCATCTACCCAATCTGTGCCGACCATCACAAGAGCCTGCACTGCTGTGGTTTTAGATTAAAATGGCTTTAGAAGGTGCTTCACTTAGCAAAGGAGTAAGGCTACATGATGCTGGAACTTATTTGGAAGATTCTATTATTCCTCGGATAATGTCTTAAAAGTAGAACATTATGATCTAAGGGTAAGGATCCTACCATGCAATGTGATAAATTAGAGATCAAAATTCCAGGGCTTGGAAATATAGCTCAGCAGTTAAGAGCACTTGCTGCTCTTGCAGAACACCTGGAACTCAGTTTCCAGCACCCAAATGACCCCTAACCACCTTCTGTAACTCCAGGTCAGAGAATTTGATGCCTTTTTCTGGCCTCCATGGACATGCACACTGTGTACAGATATCCATGCAAGCAAAACACCCATACATGAAAAATAAATATATAAAAATATTAAAAATTAGTCCTCGATTCCCACATTGCTATCACACACACACACACACACACACACACACACACACGTCTTATCTCATAATATTTCCTCACTGTTGAACAGTGAGTAACTCAATTTGATGAATGTAACTCAGTTGTTTCCAATCATATTGAATCTTTTTTGCCCAGAAAGAATGGACATAAATATGCCTCTTATGACATAATGCCCAAGTAAAAGACTAAAGTGTTTGGAGCAACTGACAGTATAACTCAGATGAAGAATATTTACATACAGGCAGGGAAGTAGCAACATTGAAATATGAAAAGGGCAGCACACATGTTAAGAAGTAAGTGGTGTTTCATTAGAACCAATAACACATGAACTTGCACACTCAACAGAAACTAAATGCCTGCGAATAAAATAGCAACACACTAACAGCAGAACTGACTTTAAGTTCTGGATGGACAGAGAAAGGGATGTAGGTCCACTGTAGAGTGATTGCCCTCTAAGAGCTAAGGCCCCAGAATCCAACACTAACAGAGCAGAATCATCAACAATATTAAATAAAAGATAGCTGAATAAGTAATGGCCCAATGAGCTGGTAGAACCAAATTTCTGTGTGACATTCATGTTAAAAACAGAAAATCGTAAGTCATGCTGATCCTTGTTACAAAGCCAGTTTAAAGAAAAGTAGAACTTCACCTCCTCCCAGTTCCAGGTCGCTGACAGGGAAGAGCATTGTTCAGTCCAGTTACTGTGTGTGTGTGGGCTGCACTCTTTGAGTAGCTGCTGCTTTCACACTCTGGACTCCTGATGAGGGAACAGCACACTGCAGCTGGCTCATCTCAGACAGTGGATGCTCAGGCTCCCTCAGAGCTGTTCTATGGCCCTGTCTCCTCACCACATGATTTCAACGACAGACCAACTGTCCTTTCCCTCTCCAGTCATCTCCACCCTTCTCTACTTAAAGTTTCTTCAAGTCTGTTCTCTCATCTGACAGGCTACAGTTTTATTTATTTATTTCTCTCACAAGGAAAGTTACATCAGTATAAAGGCCTTTTACTCCTTGACTCATTCCTAGATTTTGAACTTGTAAGATGCACTGATGAAATAAAGCAGACAGGTGTGAGGAGCTCCCAGGTATGCTGAGTTTCTTTTTTCATTCCTTGAATAAAGGTTTCTACTTGGATAGTTATTAAAGCTCCTGTTAATAAAAAACAACCACTAAAAGTATTTCCATAAGAAAAAGTTAATCATAGTCTACTTGCTCTGTTGAATATTTCTCTATGCCAGGCAGAGTGGAGATGACACAAGGAAAGAGCAGAAGATAAGTGTGACCCTGCAGTAGACTGACTCAGAAACAAATTGCTCCCCCATGAATTTTTCACAATAAAATAAATAACTCATCAGATTACCTGGATCCCAGTGGCCCTTGGAAAACCCAGGCAATTTTCAAATGAACGACAGATAATCCATTGAAGCTGATGCCAGAAAGGGGTGGCACACGTGATCTCCAAGGCTGAACTCCTCCCTGCCTTCAGTTCCCTTAAAAGTAGATCCAGTTCAGCTTTCATTTTTCTGTATGAGGAGGACTGGGTATACATATTGGCTAAGTTTTCTCTGACTTGGTGCTGTCTCTCAGAAAGTTCTTTATATTTGTCGACTTCAGGATAAAAGTGGATAAAGACAAGAAATATTAGACAATAATTTAACTGATTTTTCTGAGATACTTTTCATGAATAACAGATAAATTAGGTATCAGCTTTTCTTTGAGACAGTCTCATGTACCCTAGACTGGCCTCAAAGTTTCTCTGAAGCCAAGGGTGACCTTAAACTTCTCCAGGTCCTCCTGTTTCTGTCTTAAGTGCTGAGATTACAGACATGCACCTTTACACCCAGTTATGTGCTGTTAGGAACTAAACTCAAGGCTTTCTCCATGCTAGGTAAGCACTCTATCAGCTGAGCTCCATCTTCAGCCCACCACACTGTGAGAATAAAAATATTACTCTTGTGTTAATTCATTTACAGATTATAAAAGTGTCCATAACTGACCTGATTACAGTCATTATCCCACCGACACAACAAACTCAATGGCCAGTGACCATTGGAACCCCAATCCTTAACAACGTTCTCCTTCCCTTATGGATCTATACTTTTTAACATAAAACTCTGGTCTCTGATTTCTGCTTCAAGTGAATGCATATGTAAATGTACAAACTGCCAAGTATCTTATTTTTTGAAATGTTATAAACAAAGTCAGGCATGGTGACAAATCCCTGTAATACCTACACTTGGGAGGTGAGGTAGAAAGAGCACACATTTAAGGCCAGTCTGGCTACATGAGCAAATCATATCTAAAACAATAACAAAGATAATATAACAAAACAATAGGTACATTTACTTTTAACCCGAAATTTTCCTGTGACAGTATCATATAAATATTCTTTTGTAAATTAAATAAAAAATACCCTGCACTAATGTCTATTAGCTAATTTTAGGGCCACTAATAAATATAAGACTAATCAATATAAAACATTATATTCTAATGAGATACATGATTGTGTTTCAGTGAAATCAGTTAGATGAAAACCTATGACTCTAGAAGCTTCATATACCATCATGGCCATCTTCCTCTGTGTCTAATAGAGCAGAGAAACCTCCATTAATGATGTCCAGGAAGAAGTCTGCAGGGTTGTTGTGGGAATCATATTCATAACCTACAAAGAATCCAGACCAAGAACAAAAATGTGAGGATCCTCTTTCAGAGAGTGAGAAAGGGGAAGGGAGACAGAATCTAAGAATTTCTTCCTCTACTTGCTCTTCCCCTTCTACTTATCTTTCCTATTATATATACTCTCATAATATTTCAGCAATCACTACTTTACAGCCTATTGCTTACATGTGTGTGTTTATGTTGGTGCTATACATACATATACACAGACACATATGTAATACACAGACATAGACAGAGTAGATATAGCCTAGACATAGACAGAGACAATTAGACATACACGCAAACTATACATAAGAATAGACTAGGCATAGATATGGTCACAGAGGTAGACTAAACATAGACATGAACATAGACATAGATATGTGAACTCTTCTTGTGAAAGAATCAATAGAATTTGACCAGATTTTTATTGGACTCCATAGATGCACAAATGCTCACACATTTTTTAATGACAAAGATTAATCAACAGGAAAGAGTATTGGACAGCAAATATTTAAACCTATATTTGTAGTCAAAGATAATCATCCACAACTTAATCCATATTTCTCTAAGATGAAATTGATGAAATGAGCCATTAAAAAATATTTCATCATCCAATTTCAGTCAGAGAAAAACAGGAAGACCAAAAACATGAGTCCACAGAAGAAAGACTTGAGCAACTATAGCTCCCAAGCATCGCCTAAACCTGAAATGCAAAGTTAATACTAAGTTAAGGAATGTTTCCACAGCTCTGCAGAGTCAGGTCACACTAGGAGAAAACTTAAAATCACCATCTGCTATGTGAGCAAGAACACATGATGCTGGGCCTTTCCAAAGCTGTTCAAGTGATGGATAACTGGGCCTGAGCCCTGCATGGTAATTAAGATGGTCACCACAACTGAGAAGCCGAACAAGAGACTCAGTAAAAATCTTGTAACACAGGCATGATACAGGACAGGAGAAAGGAAGAGACCTGCACAACAAGCCCGTGCTGCACAAGCAACAGAATCCTGTCACCGATATTTAAAATGGAGAAGCCCACACACAGTAAGTCTGAATGAAGGCCAAACAGCATTCCTGAGAACCCCTGTTCTCTCCCCAGTTCCCATGACTGAAGGAGCTCTCACAGCAAATCCAGCCATACCTGCAGATTTGAAGTACTCCAAAGCCTCCTGTGCAGCCCCGTGAAACATAACGTTTCCTGAGGCCACTAAGGTGAGGCTGTCAAACAGTCTGAAGATGGAGTATGGGGGCTGATTAATGGAGAAGATGATTGTTCGTCCCCTCATAGACACCCTAAGGTTAAAGAGGAAAAAACCATAAGTCTCTTGACAGCTGAACCTTGAGATTCTGAAAAAAATATTTTATTCCTGAAGTTATACTTTTAGTTCCCATTTCAGCTTGAATTTTCCTAAAAACAACTTTACTCTCTGGTACTATGCACCTGATAGAGAAACCAAGTTAAAGCTTTTATTTAAAAGTCTAGATCTTCCAGAGTGTAGGCCATCACTAGTGCACTCAAGTGTTACCACATAGATCTCTGCACAGACTTCCAGACACTAAATCATAATATCTGGGAGTCTGTGCAGGGATCCATATCATGAGCAGGCAGCCATGGTGATTGACAAGTTCACCCAAGCTTGAGAAGCAATGACAGAGCAAACATTACAGCTATGATTGTAAGCACAATTCCCTTCAATCGTTCACACTTTCTGTCTCTTCAGGAATTGGTTTTCACTGCTCTGATGATGTAACTCACATTCCTAACCACTTGCTCTCCCTAAACACTTCAGCAATAACCTCAGTTCAATTTTCATAATATTGGCATAAGTCATTTCTAATATAATTTTCCCTTTGTGTTGATAAGACTTAAAAGGTCAAGCAACAGACAAAGGGATCTCAGTTAGTAAGAGGCAAATTTGGGATTTGATCGTTGATTTAATTCCATGGCAGGAAAAAAGCTGAACTACCATTTCAGGAGGTCATGTCTTCTGTTAGGAGGACCAATAACAAAAACCAGTATTTGAAACTGCTATGAAATATTTTTATTGAAGTTGGGTATGGTGGCATATATGTAACATTCCAAAAATTTGGATAATCAGGAGTTCAAGTCCCCCCTAGATTACAGGAGATTCTATTTCAAAAAGACTAACAAACAGAATGAAACAAAGGGGAGGAAGAAAGGGAAGGAGGGAACAAAACAGGGAGGAAGGAAGGAAGGAAAGGAGAGAAGAGGATGAAGGGGAGGGAGAAATGAAAAGGAGAATGAGAAAGCTGTGAAGTGCAGTGCACACCTTGAGCTCCAGCTTAGAAGGCAGAGGCAAGAAAGTGAGATGAGCCTGGGCTATGGAATAAAGTGACAAACTATGAAACCTCAAGACAAGTGTCTCACAAGCGTATGTTGTGAGGTGTCACTGTATCAAATGATAGTCTGCCTCAAAGACAGCCAGGACAGACAGTAATACCAACACAAGGTGGTGCAGAAGTGGAGGATTCCTTGTGAGAAAAGACTTGCAACCCAGTGAGAAGGTAAAACAAAGTGCCACCAGCTAAGAAGAGAAAAATCAGCTGTACAGAGTATAAAATAAAATGTCTGTCTAATAAACTATGAGAACACAGAAAGGACTGTGTTTGCCTGAATGTGTTTGACAAAGAGTATAGGGAGAAGTAGAGACAGGGCGGAAGACATAGGTAGATAAAAAAAGGACAGAGAGAATGATAAATAACTGGTGCGGAATTAAAATATTATTAAACGAAATTGTAGGAAGAGCATCTTAGGTGTGGGAAGACCCTTCTGCTATAAGCTAGAACATTAGGAGGATGGTAGTCAGGAGCTTGCAAAGATTAAAAGCAGAGAGCAGACATGGTGAGAGCCTTCCTCAAAGTAAGGTCTAGGATCTGCAGCCTCAGTGTCTTTTCCCACAGCATTTAGTTGGGAATCCTGGGCAGTGTCTCACACTGACAGAATCACATAGAAGGTGTTTTTTACCATGAAAGTAAATTTTTATTTTAAAAATATGAATTTTTCAACCATTTCTTTTAAAAAGCATTTGTTTTACAGGGTGTATTGCCTTGAGTGTATGTCTGTTACCACGTGTCCCTGGTGCCTGTGGATGGGAGAAGATTGCATTAGATCCCCTAAAACTGCAGGTACAAATGGTTGTGAGCTGCCGCGTGGATGCTGGGAAGGTTATCTGAGTCCTCTGGAAGAGCAGCCAGGGCTCTTACCTCTTATTTCATCTCTCCTCAAAGAACTTAATTTAAAAAATTTTATTTTAGATATATGAATCCTTATCAAAAGAAAGAATAAGATTGAAGTATATTACTTGAAATTCCTAGAAAATAAATTAAAACTAAAAAAAAAAAAACCTCACAGAGAAGGATCTTCCACTAGTCAAACTGTGATTGATTTAATAGTTAGAATAATGAAGAATAACATATTATAGCACATTGTACAAAATAGGAACTGAGAAAAGACACCTTCCCAGACAGAATGCCATGTCAGTTTGTGAAGTAATTAAAACAAGAGCAGAAGTTACTAATTCACACCACAAATGGTCAGTAGAGATAATATAAGGAACAGAATAATGGCATAGGAGTTGATTGTTTTCCCTGTCAGACTATTAATATATCACAAAAGAAAAAACTGTAATTTCATATCATATAACCTATCAACTGCCACCACTATGAGATGATTAAGATTCAAGCCAGGGAAGCAAGATGGCTCAATGGGCAAAGGTACTTGATGCTAAGAGTTTAAATCCCAGAAACCATTTGGTGGAAGGAAAAATCCAAGTCCCTCGAGTTTTCCTCTGACTTCTACATCCATGCAACATATATATAGACACCACACACACACACAAACACATACACACACACACACACACACAAATAATTGTAAAAAAAAATTAAATATTCCTACCATAAAGGATGCACTTCCAGGAGTGTGAAATCCAAGGAGAACACAGCATATCAGGGCCCAATTCTGCTCCCAGAACACTGGGAGAAACCACACTGGGGACAACACCATGCCATGCACTAAGACTGGAAACTAGAACACTGGGAGAAGCCACACTGTGGATGACCCGATGCGATGCACTAAGAATAGCAATATCATGACACACAGGCACAGAGAGCCGCATTCCATACTGGAAAATGAGCAAGAACTTAATCTTAGAGAGTGTCCTGAAGCAGACAGGAAAGGGAACAGATAGGGAAGGTAGTGATCCTTAAGGAGTCTACAGGCTAGAAGATGGCAAGGCCCCAGTTGTTGACTTCATCACTGGGAAGGTAAAACGAAAGAGTGATCTTGGTTCCTGGAGGGACAGGTAACAGTATTTAGGGTAATAGAACATGATGTTAGAAAAAATGAAAGAACAAGAAAAAGGAAAGACAGAACACAGTAAATTCAACAGCCAGCAGCCTAGGCTATGGGAATGGGATAGTCCTTATATGGTTCTTGGGGTTATTAAGTCAATTAGGAATTCTTATTATACTTCAAAATAAAAAACCTAACCCTTACACATTTTTGTATAAATGTTTCAGCCACAGACTTATTTCTTGAGAGAAGAAAGTGCCATTGCTTTTACTCATTCTTCCACAGGTCAGGACCCAGATCTTAGCAATCATTCTCTCAGCCATCACATCCAGGGTCAATCCCTGAGATAATTCTATTTATTCTATATTCAAAGCTATACAGAGTACACTATTTCCTAGCAACCGAACCTCCACATCTCCATCTTCTACTGATATTTTACATCCCCATATTGTAACTGCATAACCTTCTCCATGATGCATTGCTCTGCTATAAACTCAGAAGCTTTCCCACATCCCCTTCCATGGAAAACCTTAGTCTTTACAGTGGTCCAGGGGGTCTAGGCAATCTACATCCAACCCAACCAGCCCCTCTCTCTTCAACTAGGAATGTGGAGGACTGAATTGAATCTTTCCAAAGACTCATTTGTTGAAGACTTCACATCTAAGAACTTTAAATGTGGATATAATTGGAGGAAGAGTCTTTTAAAAGGTAATTAAGTGTCATTGAAATTGCTAGGGTATCCTAATGTAACTGGTGTCCATTTAAGAGATCAGAGCATAGACACATGAGGAGGGAAGAGGTACCAACTCAGTGACCCAGGCCTCAGCAGACACTCTGACTTTCAGGATTCAGAACTCTAAAGAATTTAACTTCCATCAAGTCATCCAGTCTGTGCTGTCTTTAGCAAAAAACTAGCAACTTTCTATCCCCTCAGGTCACTGGGCTCTGGTTAACTTGGTCTCTTTAATGCTCCAGACACACCAAACATGCTCTGCCTCAGAACAAATGCGTTTTCCCTCCAGCCTGCACTCTGTTCAGATCGCACCCACTTGACCAATGCTTGAGTGTTATGGGGACATTCTATTTAAAGCAGTGCTGCACCTTCACCATCTCTCCCTATGCTCCTGTCTCATTGATCTTGATGTGTAATCCTTGTTAATTGAAGTTTGTTTCCTTCTAATAAACAAGAAAGAAATTCTGTAGCTTACCTCTGAATCTCTTGCACCAAAAATACACACAAGTGACCAGGTATTAAATGAAAAAAACATAATATTTCTTCAGCACTTACCTTCTCAGGACTGAGATGACATCAGTAGTGGTGCTCCAGTCTAAGCCAGTGGTGGGGTCATCCAAGAACAAGATGGGATGCTGGGTGATCAGCTCCATTGCTATACTGGTCCTTTTCTTAAGTTCTTTAGACCTAGGCTGAAGCAACACTGATCATCATTATTAACAAGAACAACTACAGTCATAGTCATTTGATGAATCAGCCTGTCCTAGTAATAAAAAATTTTGCTATATCATTATCCTGACAATCAACATACAACAAAGGGTTTTTTGGGGGTGTGTGGATGTATAGACAAAAACTGCTTGTTTGCTCCCGGCTTCCCAGACCCAAATCATCACACAAAAACTATATTAATTAAAAGACTGCTTGGCCAGTGACTCAGGTGTAGCTCTTAAATCTTGAATTAATGCATGTCTGTTAATCTGTGATTCGGCATAAGGCTGTGGCTTACTTGTAAGGGTCAGGCATCTATCTCCTTTGGCAGCTACATGGCATCTCTCTGACTCCACCTACTCTCTCTTTTTATATCTCTCTTCCATTCTGGCTATATTCTGCCCTGCCATAGGCCAAAGAAGCTTTTATTCATTAGCCAGCAAAAGCAACACATATACAGAAGGATATCACACATCAAGGACTGTAGTAATGAGAGGAGCAGGCCTGCTTTTTGTCCCGCATGGCTAGCTTTACACCCGAAATAACAACACACAAATTGCATTCATTTAAACAGTGCCTGGCCCATTAGCTCTAGCCTCTTACTGGCTAACTCTCACATCTTGATTAACCCATTTCTATTAATGTGTGTAGCACCACGAGGTGGTGGCTTACCAGGAAGATCCTAACCTACGTCCATCTTGGGCCGGAGCTTCATGGTGACTGACTCGCTGCCTTCTATCCAGCATCCTGTTCTGTTTACTACACCTACCTAATTTTCTGTGCTATCAAAGGGCCAAGGCAGTTTCTTTATTAACCAACGAAAGTAACACATAGCCAGATGACCCTCCTCCAACAAATGATTAGTATGGCCACGACAAGGCTGAGAAAATAAAAGAATTATTAATTTTAATAGTTAAGAATAGAGTTATAGGTAAGCAGATTTTTATGAATGAAAAGTAATTAAGTACTCAGGAATAAGATAGAACTTAATGTTCTATTAAAATGCTACAGTGAGAAACAACTTTAATGAGTATACTGTTGTAAACATGAAGAAGCCAGGGTGCTGGTATCAGCAAGTGTACTATTGTGCTGATTGTATGACAGAAACCACACACTGCCTCTATATTTATTAAATCAAAATCTTGTGAAAAGCTGAAGAGAAGTCTTAGCAGGGAAAAGCACTTGCCCTGTAGGCCTGAATCCTGGGTTCAATCCCTGGAACTCACATATAAAGCGGTAGCAACAGAATTGCCTGTGTAACTCCATCAAGAAGGAATTACAGTGAGATGAGACATGGATCAGGGCATCAGTCATGTGTGTAGGGCTTCAGCAGAACAAGACAAACAAGGTGGGAGAAGAAAATGGACCCGTGACAAAGATGTCCTTATGTGTGTGCTATGGCCTTTAGGCAGACACGTAAAAATACACAGGCACACACATACACACACATCTTTTTTGAAAACTATCATTAAAAATTATATTAAAGTTCTTGCAATCTATTACATTTCATGACTTCAAGAATTTAATAAGTATCTTGATATGTTATCTCTAAAAAGTAAAAGTAAACAACTTAGTGCAATAACTAATTATTGTTTAAAAAACAGAACAAAAGAAAGAACCTTATGGTGAACATAAAAACATGTAATAAACAGAGCAAAGCCCACAAAATTCCATCACTCGGGACAAAAGAAAGTGTGGTAAATGTCCGCTTTTCTATTATTCTTTCAAGAAGGCAAACATCTCATAAACGACTGTAGAGGAAGATCATGGGAATCAACAGCTAGTACCTTCCTATTCCTCATTGCCTCTAAGGAGGAGACACCACAGGAGTTAATCCATAAAAATCATATTCTGGCGAGCCCATTTTCATCCATAGTCCCAAATGTCTACTCAGCAGACATCTCTATACAATCTACTCAATGAGTCGATGTCATTGTGGAGGCAGGATGGTTTGGAGGAGACAAAAAGAGGGAAACACCACTAATATTTAAAAAACACTAGGCATATAATAAGTTAAATGCCTGATAAGGTTCTATAACCAATGTAATAATAATAAAAAATGGAATTGCAAATAGTTTTAGACCTGACAGTGCTGAGAATATCAAGACTTATTAATTTTGATGCTTAACAATGGGATTGTTAAATTAACATATATCTTTAATTTTTAAACATTAAGAATAATTAATGAAGTATCACATAAAAGTTTTTTGAAATAGGTTAGTAAGAAATTAACTAACTCTCACATAGTTAACTGTGAAGTTCACCACTTATCTATTACCCCTCCCGATCCTGCACAAATCTCATAGGAATAACCAGGTTCATTCATTGTTGCTCTTGCCCAAGGTTCTATCATCAAACCCTGACAAAAGGAGCTGATAATAAATATTGACAGAAGATACAGAAGGAAGGAGTGAGAGCAAAAGGATATCCTAGGTTTCCATCTAGTTATTAACATAAAATGATCTTACAAAAAGTAAACAGGGAGTGAAAGGTTTTATTTCAACGCACAGTTTAAAAGTACAGGTGACCACTGTAGGGAAGTCAAGGCAGGAAGCTGCTACATCTGGTTACATCCAGTCAAGAGCACAGAGAGGGTGAACGCATACATGTCTATCAGTGGTCAACTCACTTTCTCCATGCTCATGCCACCCGGGACCCAAACTCAAAGAATGGATCTGCCTAAGTGAGCTGGGTCTTTCTACACCACTTAATCAAGGCAATCACCTACAGAAATGCCCACAAGCCAACCTGACTACAATTCCTCACTGAGACTCTCTTCTAGAGGATTCCAATATGATCTTAGGTTGTGTCAAATTGACAGATAAAACTAGCAACCACAGGCAGGATGAGATATAAACACAAAAAGAAAGACTGCAGAAGATAACAAGCACGACACAAGTGAGAAGTAAATGCTAAGAGACCAAGGACAGCCCTGGAAGGAAATAAATGCAGAGTGAACACAGAGCCAGAGTTCTCTATCACACGTCCTGTGTCAGGGCAGAAGCACATTCTGAAACAACAAGGGACAAGTCCTCTAGGGGAAGAGACAATAAACAGAAGAAAGCACTTGTCCAATTCTGTAAAATTAAGACTTTAAGGCTGAGGGAAGAGGAGGCTCACGTGAGGAGCACTTTTCCCTGCTGGATCACAGTCCACTGCCAGGTTTAGCCATTGTAAAGAAGGCTTTGCAGCTCACTTTCCATTTTACATCATGTAACCACTTGCACACTCATTAATACAGACAATAGTTACATTGACACACACTTTATAGGAAAGTGACAACTGAGTCATATTATCATCATGGTCATTTTTTATTTTGACTCCGAGTATTTCAAGACTTTTCTTCATATTACCTCAACATTTGCCACTTCATCCAGATGCAGAAGTTCAAGGACATCATTAATCCGCCTTCTTTTTTCATCTCTTGTCATAGTCATTGGCAGTTGAAGAGCTGCTGAGAACTCTATGTTGTCTCTCACAGTCAGCGTGTGCATCACCATGTCATTCTTAAGGTTAAATAGTATTTCAATTAAATACAGTTATCACTAAGACAATCATTCTAATAAATGTAGCCTAATCCTCAAATAAAACATATGCAATGTAATACTCTACTGAAAAATATTCTTTCAATTTTACTAATTTCAAGTAGAGAACCTGCCCTTCCATTTTCCTTCCAAGTAGAGCAGAGGGATTTTGGTGACTGCTACCTGCAGTTATTTACAGAAGGATCTTCTAAGCAGTGGAGAGAGATGCAGGAAGAGCAAAATAAGACAACTGTAGTCCTCTGTAGAATTAAATCACAGCTGCAATTGCCAATACTGTGCCACAGATGTCATATTCCAATCCCTCCCCACCTTCCTAAATAATATTAATCTTAGGTTAATGAGCCATTGTAAAAAGCCACTGTAGAGGAAGCATAGCCTATAAATGTGTTGTATAATTATGGAAACACACATATCTATAAACTACATCTGCCCATACAGAAGCAGGAGAAATCTAAAATTACAAACCCACCAGCACTTACTTGTGGCACATAACCAGAAGTACATGTGAAATTAGCAGGTCGAGGTTTTCCATTTATCAAAATATCTCCTGATAATCCACGTGGATCTTTCCTTGCAGCTAAGACATCTAATAACCTACAAGGGTTACATATGTTGTGTGGTTTACTTCCTCCCTTCAGTAAAAGCTATCAGCTTTCAGATACTCAGAATAAAAATTCTGCAAAAGATTAACTGAAGTCACACACACACTCCTTTCTGTTCAGTGTGTGCTCTAATACAGCGCAGAATTATGAAAGACAGGTGTGATCCACAGGACGGCCCCTCCCTGGTAATTGACCTTAGGGACTCAAACTGGTAATGTGCTGCTCAAATTGGTAAAGTAATTTCTTGTCTCCTTAAAACTTCTCCTTCATCTTTCTAATTTTAATACTATCTCTCCCACATTAAATAATAAACTAACCCAGCATCATATAGCAATCACTCTATCATTGCCTATCAGTAAAGTGACCTTGTAAGACTTCCTGCTCTTGGTATGAAACTATGAAGCATCCACCTGCACATTATAAACAGCACATAAGACCTGACTAGATACACTCACACAATACTTAAATAATTCCTATAAAAGTAATTTTGCAACACAGAAAGTGGATACAAAGGGCTTGCATATGCTGTCTGTTATACTCACAACGATCTGCTCTCATAATTAGGTCCCATAATGGCATTGAGGCCAGCTTTCATAATCCCACTGTAAACACAAAATCATACTGCTTGAATGTGCAATTTAAAAGAAGTTATGTTCCTTTAGGATCTACACTAAATATGCTATTGAAATTGTACACAGAAAAAAAAACACAAACTCACAAAAACTACACTATCAGAAAAATGCCTCAGATATCACAAAAGCCCTGCTGTTTATTATTTAAGGACTTGTCATTTTTGAAGCATGGTGCATTTAAGTTTAATGTCCGTGAAGCAAGTAGCAGGATCTCAGGAGGACTTTATTACACACATGCCCTTTATGTGCCGAGCATATAACAGCTTCTTGCTAATGTTTGATGAGCAGTGTCTTTATATAACCCTGCTTGCTGCTTCATAGACCTCGTTGCAAAAAAAAAAAAAAAAAAAAAAAAAAAAAACACTGAGTTGTAGAATACCAGTAGCAATGTCCTTACTATTAAAATAGAATCAAACCAAAATCTATACATCTTAAGTAGAAATCCAAAGACCAGAAAGAAGAACTCATAGGACAGGAGAGGGTTGCCAAGTTTAACACTTAAAACAAACAGAAGATCCTTAATCAAAATAGAAAAGCCAAACACACACCCACAAAATGAAAATTTCCTTTCTTGATAAGGAGATTAGAATACACTCAGTTTAGAATTGAGGGACATCCCTCAAGGCATGGCTTCTTTATCTTATGGAACAATGTGTGGAATGTTGGCTTTCGCTCTTTTTAGCTCTTAATGAATTTTGAGCAAATATTTGAGGACCCGGCCTTTCTGCTCTTGGGACTTCTTCATTACTTCCATCTCATCACTGGTAACTGACCCAGTCTGCCTGTTATAAACGCTCAGTTCAGTTTAGGGAGGGGATGTGTGTATAGATGTGTACACAATTCTTTTAGATTTTCTAATTTGTAGAATTTAAATTTGCAATAATCTCTCATATTCCTTGATGTTAACAGTATGCCTTTTATATTACTTTTTCATCCTTAATTTTATTGAATTAAAACATTTCTCATAATTGTTTTTGTTTTGTTTTGTTTTTGAAATTTGTCTAAGGGTTTGTCAAGCTTGTTTGTATTTTTAAAGAAACAGCTTTTGCGCCATTCATCCATTGTGTTGTTCTTCAGTCTCCATCACATGAATTTCACTGTGATCGTGGATCTATCTGTCTGTGATCATGTATCTGTCTGTCTGTATAACAAGGTGAGGCTGGGGATGGTTCACTGGGTGAAGTGCTTGCTGTGTGTGGGTGAGGACCTAAGTTAAACCTCCAGAACTCACATAAAGCTGGATGCAGTGTGGGCACCTGTAGCTCCATGCTCTATGAAGAGATGGGAGACAGAAGCAGGAGAATCCCAGGACCCTTGCAGGCAGCTGGCCTGGCACACACTGCAGTGAGCAATGAGGGACTCTGTGTGCAACACGGTAGAAGGTGGAGACCAGTGCTCAGGATTGTCCTCTGACAGCCTTGTGTTATGGGTGTGCCATAGCATCCACACATCTGCACATGTGAACATTCACGCATACACTTATACACACACAAACAGAAACACAGAAACACACAGAAACAGATATAGGCATACACATTCATACCCTTATATGTACACAAACAGAGATATACACATATATACACATATACACTTGCACACATAAACAGATATATATGCATACACACAAACACATATACACACACAGTTTATTGATAATTGAGAAAGTCTGAATCTGTTGAAAAAGTTGTTCAATATACTCGTCTATTTAGTTCATGTACATACCTGATATTTGATAGTCTTTTTATCACACTTGTTTTTTTACAACATGCAAAGCCATGCTGCACTGTTTCCACGTAACTGATGTTATGAAAACTTAACACAGCCTCTCCAGTCAATATGTTCTGGTCACTGGTGTCCATTCCAGGATGGTCACTGGGATTTACTTCTGTCACTGGAATTGCAACAGGGTCATTATTGGAAGACATCTCGAGGGGTTCTTCCTTCCTGTAGAAGGAACAGCAATATTAAGTTGATGGTCCACACAAGCAACATCATTACACAGAGCAGCCCACTTAATGCTTGTTTAAACTGTGCAGTCATAGGCAGATTCCTCACTGATGAGCAGTACATGATTAGTGACCACCTAAGGACCCAAAGAGAAGCAGACATAACTGAGGACATAACCTCTTTTGGATGCCAAATTCCTAAGAAACAAATGAGCACTAATGAGTATAAATGCTTTTCATAATTCATAAAGGAAGAAGGGGACAGATAATGAGGCAGATTTGTCTTACTTCAAAAGCATATTATGATATAAGTTCAGAGGCTGAATACAAGACCACCATTACCACAAGTCCTGTGTGTGCATGTGTTTGTGCGTATGTGCACATGCACAGATGTGCAGATGGATTTATAGAAGTCACAATTACATAGCAGATGAACATGCATAACAGGGAGGCCAATAAATACTCAGTTGGTTCAGGGCATAATGTCAGTTCAAGATATAGAAATGGCTCAAAGGGCACATTGCTCCAAAGCACAGAGCTGACTGCAGGCATGGGAGTCTGAACAAATGGGAGTTCAACTGGGTCATTTCAATTAGGGCTGATCCTATGAGCAGACATCCTGGGGACAGAGTTGAGCATTTATTGCCTTGTATCTGGTGATGCATGCATGGGGTGGGCTGATGATGGCTCAGTGAGTCTGAGCCAAGTGAGGGCATTGCTGCGCTCATTGTTCTGGTGGTTTAGACAAGCACACTAGCTTGGTTTCTTGAACTAGGTCTTCAAACATCCATGGGTCTAGCTGTTCCTGGCTTGATATTTTATAGGTAGGAATAATTTGTTTGTATTAATAAGTTATCTATAAACATATGTTTACTGTCTGTGCTGGGCACTTGCACACACAAGATAGAGAGTCATTTTTTGCCTCAGAATTTACTTTCAAAATGAAGCAAAGCACTGCTGTATAAATGGAGTCACTCAGGGTAAGGCACACTCTGAAAACTCCTGTCCTATGTAATACAAAGGAACACAATGAGCACAGCCTAAGCTTTACACATCCCATCTCTCACAGTGCTAGAACCAGGAGTTTCTATTCTCTTAGTCTAAGCTGTGGTGAGGTCCAAAATCATCTAGCACATGTCATGGTGCCCTGAGATACACTGGTGGATAGAGCGCCATGAGAGACCATAGTGCAGGAGGGAGTGACTGGCAGAGATTCATAGCTCAGGCTGTGGAGGAATGAAGACAGGTAGCCTGGCCTCTTGTAACCAGGAATGACATGGCTCCTCTGCATGACTGCTGAGCATGAGAGTTCTGAGCAGGTGGTTGGCAGATTCTTTAGTTTCTGAAACTGCCTCATGCTGCAATGTGTGTGCACAGACAGGGGCTGCGAACTGGGAACCTGATTGAAAGGGTTATTCAATTTTCCCAGCCTCTTCCTTATTGCATGATAGTTTGCTGCTGGATAGGACCTGAAGACGCTTAGGCAAACAGCTCAGCTCCTAAAACTTCTCTCCATTGTGGAACTCCTTGCTTTCTTTGCCATCCCCTCCTTTCATAGCATCTGGGAGACATGGCTTTGTTTAGTCAAACCCACAAATAGAAGTGCCTACCTGGACCACAGGCCTCTTGGCTAGCAGTAGGGAAGACTATACAAAGATGGGAGGTCTTTAGAGCGAATGACGCTTTGCTTTTTATGACATCTGTGTACGCTCGACAGCATCAACCTGGAAGGCGGCAACAGAGAGGAATGATGCACACCAACTGTCATCGCGATGCCCCAGATCTGACAAGTTCTATCAGAGCATCAAGAGAGAGGCTCTTCCAAGTCTCTGTCTCTCTGACACTAAACTGTTTTACTGTTTTGTGTGATTTTCATATAGTGCATTATTTTTACATTTTTTTTATTGAGAAAAGGAAAAAAAGTTTCCAGTCTCCCATTTCCCTCCCCCTCCTCCCACCCTTCTCTCCCTCCCCCCACTCCTCTACCCCTCCCTCTCCAGTCCAAAGAGCAGTCAGGGTTCCCTGCCCTGTGGAAAGTCCAAGGGCCTCCCCTCTCCGTCCATATCTAGGAAGGTGAACATCCAAACTGGCTAGGCTCCCACAAAGCCAGAACATTAAGTAGGATCAAAACCCCATGCCATTGTCCTTGGCTTCTCATCAGCCCTCATTGTTCGCCATGTTCACAGAGTCCGGTTTTATCCCATGATTTTTCAGTCACAGTCCAGCTGGCCTTGGTGAGCTCCCAATAGATCAGCCCCACTGTCTCAGTGGGTGGGTGCACCCCTCGTGGTCCTGACTTCCTTGCTCATATTCTCCCTCCTTCTGCTCCTCATTGGGACCTTGGGAGTTCAGTACAGTGCTCCAGTGTGGGTCTCTGTGTCTATCTCCATCCATCACCAGATAAAGGTTCTATGGTGATATGCAAGATATTCGTCAGTATTGCTATAGGATAGGGTCATTTCAGGTTCCCTATCCTCAGCTGCCCAAGGAACTAACTGGGGCCATCGCCTTGGGCTCCTGGGAGCCACTCTAGGTTCAAGTCTCTTGCCAACCCTAAGGTGGCTCCCTTAACTAAGAATTGTGCTTCCATGCTCCCCTATCCAACCTTCCTTTCTCCCAATCATCCTTTTTCCCCAAGTTCCCCCCATCCTCCCCTTCTCCCTTTTCTCTCCCCATCTCCCCTTACCCCCATCCCACCCCATTCTCAAGATCCCAATTTTCTCCCTGGCAATTTTGTCTACTTCGCATAGCCAAGATGATAACTATATGTTTTTCCTTGGGTTCACCTTCTTACTTAGCTTCTTTAGGTTCACCAATTGTAGACTCCGTGACCCTTATTTATGGCTAGAAACCAATTATGAGTGAGTACATCCCATGTTCATCTCTTTGGGTCTGGGTTACCTCACTCAGTATAGTGTTTTCTATTTCCATCCATTTGCATGCAAAATTCGAGAAGTCATTTTTTACAGCAGCGTAGTACTCTAATGTGTATATATTCCACACTTTCTTTTTTAAATTAATTAATTTATTTATTTATTAAAGATTTCTGTCTCTTCCCCGCCACCGCCTCCCATTTCCCTCCGGCCCCCCAATCAAGTCCCCCTCCATCGTCAGCCCGAAGAGCAATCAGGGTTCTCTGCCCTGTGGGAAGTCCAAGGAACCCCCACCTCCATCCAGTTCTAGTAACGTGAGCATCCAAACTGCCTAGACTCCTACAAAGCCAGTACGTGCAGTAGGATCAGAAACCCATTGCCATTGTTTTGAGTTCTCAGTAGTCCTCATTGTCTGCTATGTTCAGCGAGTCCGGTTTTATCCCAGGGTTTTGCAGACCCAGGCCAGCTGGCCTTGGTGAGTTCCCAATAGAACATCCCCATTGTCTCCGTGTGTGGGCGCACTCCTTGCGGTCCTGAGTTCCTTGCTCGTACTCGCTCTCCTTCTACCCCCGATTTGGACCTTGAGATTTCTGTCCGGTGCTCCAATGTGGGTCTCTGTCTCTGTCTCCTTTCATCGCCTGATGAAGGTTAATATTCATATATGCCTATATGTTTTACTTTGGGTTCTCCTTATTTAGCTTCTCTAGGATCACTAACTATAGGCTCAATGTCCCTTGTTTATGGCTAGAAACTAAATAAGAGTGAGTACATCCCATGCTCCTCTTTTTGGGTCTGGCTTACCTCACTCAGGATAGTGTTTTCTATTTCCATCCATTTGCATGCAAAATTCAAGAAGCCCTTGTTTTTTACTGCTGAGTAGTACTCTAATATGTATATATTCCATACTTTCTTCATCCATTCTTCCATTGAATGGCATCTAGGCTGTTTCGAGGTTCTGGCTATTACAAATAATACTGCTATGAACATAGTTGAACAAATGCTCTTGTCACATGATAGGGCAACTCTTGGGTATATTCCCAAGAGTGGTATTGCTGGATCCACGGGTAGGTTGATCCCAAATTTTCTGAGAAACCGAAACACTGATTTCCAAAGTGGTTGCACAAGATTGCATTCCCACCAGCAATGGATGAGGGTACCCCTTCCTCCACAGCCTCGCCAGCAAAGGCTATCATTGGTGTTTTTGATTTTAGCTATTCTGACAGGTGTAAGATGGTATCTCAAAGTTGTTTGATTTGCATTTCCCTAATTGCTAAGGAGGTTGAGCATGACCTTAAGTGTCTTTTGGCCATTTGAACTTCTTCTGTTGATAATTCTCTGTTCAGTTCAGTGCCCCATTTTTTTTTAATTGGGTTAATTAGCCTTTTAAAGTCTAGTTTTTTGAGTTCTCTATATATTTTGGAGATCAGACCTTTGTCTGTGGCGGGGTTGGTGAAGATCTTCTCCCAGTCAGTAGGTTGCCTTTTTGTCTTAGTGACAGTGTCCTTTGCTTACAGAAGCTTCTCAGTTTTAGTAGGTCCCATTTATTCAATATTGCCCTTAATGTCAGTGCTGCTGGGGTTATACATAGGAAGCGATCTCCTTTGCCCATCTGTTGTAGGGTACTTCCCACTTTCTCTTCTATCAGGTTCAGTGTGTTCGGACTGATATTGAGGTCTTTAATCCATTTGGACTTGGGTTTTGTGCATGGTGATAGATATGGGTAAAAAGTTTTTAATCTTTCAAAAATTCCTGTGTTGTGTTTACTTAATCTTGCCATTATTGGCTGTGAGGCAGAGTCTTTTTGGTACAGACGTTGCCACAAACTTGTGATTCTGCTGCCTCACCTTCCATGGGTCAGGATCATCGGTCTGCGGTTTATCTGTTTTATTTACACATTTTAAACATTGTAATTATATTTTTAATCTCCTGCTCATTTCTCCTTCTTCTCCTTTTATTTTTTCTAACCTTTCTTTCTATACATCCTTTATTCAATTATGTTGTTATTGTTGTTTGTACCTTTATTAGTTGCTAACATCATGTTTTTTTATGAATTAGCTTTTCCCATTACTTCTATTATGCCCATTGTGATAACTCTGGGGAAGATGA